GTGATATATTGCAGACCCTGAACTTGATGGATCAGCTGGCACCCCCCAGATCGATTAACTGGCTCATCTGATCTAGGGGTCCCTCACCCAGGAACTGACTCAGCACAAGGAGACAGCTCTGACTCCCTATGATTTCATCCCTGATCAATCAGCACTCCTGGCTCACTGGCTCCCCCCACCCACCAAGTTGTCCTGAAACACTTCTCACCGAATGCTTGGTGAGACTGATTTGAGTAATACTAAAACTCTGGTCTTCTGGTTCTAAATCCTTGAGAAATCGCCACACTGTGTACCGCAATGGTTTAACTAATTTACACTCCCACCAACAGTAGAAATAAAAACAAAACAAAACAAAAACAAAACAAAAACAAAAAAAGTGTTCCTACTTCTCCACATCCTCTCCAGCATCTGTTGTTTCCTGACTTTTTAATGATCGCCATTCTAACTGGTGTGAGATGGTATCTCACTGTGGTTTTGATTTGCATTTCTCTAATGACCAGTGATCATGAGTTTTTCTTTATATGTTTGTTGGGTGCATAATACCATTTGACCCAGCAATCCTATTACTGGGTATATACCCAAAGGATTATAAATCATTTCACTATAAAGACACATGCACACGTATGTTTATGGCAGCACTATTCACAATAGCAAAGCCTTGGAACCAACCCAAATGCTCTTCAATGATGGACTGAATAAAGAAAATGTGGCAGATATACACCATGGAACACTATGCAGCCATTAAAAGGATGAGTTCATGTCCTTTGCAGGGACATGGATGAAGCTGGAAACCATCATTCTCAGCAAACTAACACAGGAACAGAAAACCAAATGCCCCATGTTCTCACTCATAAGAGGAAGTTGAACAATGAGAATACATGGACACAGGGAGGGGAATATCACACACCGGGGCCTGTCAGGGGGTTGGGGATAGGGGAGGGATAGCATTAGGAGGAATACCTAATGTAGATGATGGGTTGATGGGTGCAGCAGACCACCATGGCACATATATACCTATGTAACAAACCTGCACGTTCTGCACATGTATCCCAGAACTTGAAGTATAATTAAAAACAAACAAACAAACAACAACAACAACAAAAAATACCTCTGGTCTCTGGCACAGCCAGCTCTGCGTGAATTACTTTCTCTATTGCAATTCCCTGTCTTGATGAATCGACTCTTTCTAGGCAGTGGGCAAGGTGAACCCCTTGGGCAATAAATAGCAATAAACTGCTTGGAGAAGTACAGGAGAATAGCACAGAGAAGGTGGCATTTCAGTTAGTCTTTAAAATCAGGCAGGATAGCCAGGCACAGTGGCTGACGCCTGTAATCCTAGCACTTTGGGAGGTCAGTGGGAAGGTCACCTGAGGTCAGGAGTTCGAGACCAGCCTGACCAACCTGGTGAGATCCCCATCTCTACTAAAAATACAAAAACATTAGCCGGACCTGGTGGCACATGCCTGTAATCCCAGTCACCCAGGAGGCTGAGGCCCGGAGAATTGCTGGAACCCGGGAGGCAGAGGCTGCAGTGAGCTGAGATCGCGCCACTGCACTCCAGCCTGGCTGATAGAGAGAGACTCTGTCTCAAAAAATGATAAATAAATAAATAAAATTCAAGCAGGAATAATATGAATGCATATTAAAAAGCAACAATAAGCATGACAGCTAACATATTAAACTTCACAGCTGACAGTATTCTTTCACGTGTTTTATCAACTCAAGTTCATCTCCTTCTCACATTGCTGCAGACCCTTAGGAAGAGTTCATTACACCAGTGCTACTCCTAGTGTGGTTTGCTAACTGGGCATGATCTCGCCTCACTGCAGCCTCCGCCTCGCAGATTCAAGCAATTCTCCCACCTCAGCCTTCCAAGTAGCTGGGATTACAAGTACCTGCCAACACGCCTGGCTAATTTTTATATTTTTAGTAGAGACAGGGTTTCGCCATGTTGGCCAGGCTGGTCTTGAACTCCTGGCCTCAAGTGATCTGCATGCCTCGCCCTCCAAATTTCCGGGATGACAGACATGAGCCACTGAGCCTGGCTTCATTTTTATTGTTGTATTTCATCAAAGTATCAGGTTTCAATGGGTTGAAAGCATACACACACACACAGCTGGTTCCCCGCACCAAACCTTTGAGAAGCACTGGCCCCAAAGCACCAAAACAGACAGAAGGCATGAAAGAGGTAGGTGTGGAGAGCTAGAAGAGAAAGCTCACACTTCATAGTTCCCACCTGTAATAAGTGCTTTCAGTAAATTTTATTTAATCCTCCCAATAACCCAATGGAATTGGTGTTATAATCTTAACTTTACAAAAGAGGACAGCAAATTCAGAGAAGATAATGAACTTGCCCAAATATGGCCAAGAATCAAACCAAGGTTTGTCAGAATTCTGTTTTTCTAAAATATTTATGCTGAATCAATTGCCATATCAGTGTCCTTTTCTCCTTGATCAATATCTAAAAATTACAGTTTACTGAAACCAGTTGCTCCTGGGCTCACAGTCATGGACATGTCTTCAGGATGTGGCTCACCCTTTTTTCCCTAAGTTAGGAAAATGATCTGTCTTCTTACCCAGTGGAGCATGGTGTGTGTCATATGTCAAAAGGTTAAAACAATAATAGCAAACCGGTTCCCATTTCCTGTTCACATATACCTACCTATACACACACCACCCCTACACACACTTCTTGTCAGGCAAGAAAAATAAATCATGCTCTCTCACTGTCACTGGAAAAATAGCATCAGGTATTTTCCTGACTTGAATTTTCTTTTCTTTATGTTAAGGTGCTTTTTTATCTTAAACTTACAAATTTGTGTTACTGACATGGATCTTAGAAACTTTACATAATATAAATTTTAATGTTATTTATTTTTTCTTTTTTTTTACGTGTCAGGGTCTTGCTCTGTTACATACACTGGAATGCAGTGGTGCAATCATAGCTCACTGTAACCTTGAACTCCTGGGCTCAAGTGATCCTTCCATCTCAGCCTCTCAAGTAGCTGGGACTACAGGTATGCACCACCATGCCTGGGTATTTTTTTCTTTTTTTTTTTTTGTAGAGACAGAGTCTTGCTATGTTGCACAGGCTGGTATTGAACTCTTGGCCTCAAGCAATCCTCCCGCCCTAGCTTCCCAAAGAACTGGGATTATGTTATTTCATTTACACCACACAACATCCCTATGAAGTAGAAATTATTATTCCTGTTTTATCGATAGGAAAGGGAGGCTAAGAGAAATAACTAGCATAAGGTTGCAAAATTAGCAAACGACAGAATTGAGATAGAAATCGCATGTTTGACTGAGAAGCCTGTGCAAACTCTTGATATTCTATTTAGTAGTTAAAAGATTAAAATATGAGCAACAGACACCTTTTAATCTCATTAACTCTGGGACTTCTGTTCAATGATTTATATATTTTATGCAGAATAAGGCTCTTAGAATTACAGTCACCTAGAACTATGTCTGCCTTGGTCTACATGTCTATTGTGGCCTATTTAAAAAGTTAAGAAGCTTAAATAATTTCTTTTGGCAAAAGAGTCACCTAACATCTGTCTCATGCAGAGTCAGAGCTGGTCTGCTCATGGATGCTCAAGACAACTATTCTTTTTCTGGAGTGGGGCTGAGTATGGCCTTGGGAATCTGCGGAACCAGGGTTTAAGGGCTGCCTAACTTTCTAGGCAAATTACTTCATCTTTCTATACTTAAGCTTTCTCATTTGTAAGTTGAAAACAATACCAAACTCCAGGGTTTTGTGAGGATAAGGTGTTTAGCACAATGTAAAGCACAGAATAAATGCTCAACACACATGAATACTGACATAAACATTACTTCGCCATCCTGCAGACCAACTCCAACTCTGCATGAAACAGAAAAACGAAACATTTATTTGGTACTAATCAAATTTCCTTTCATAATCTTTTATGGGTAGACAATACCATTGTATCCCCATTTTAAGAGGCAGTCTTTCAGTCTTTTCAAAGCATAACTTTGAAGCCAGAATGGCCTGGGTTAGATTTCTTCTTATACTTATTATTATTATTTGAGACGGAGTCTCGCTCTTGCTGCCTAGGCTGGAGTGCAATGGCACTAACTTGGCTCATCCGAACTCGGCTCACAGCAACTTCCGCCTCCCGGGTTCGAGCGATTCTCCTGCCTCAGCCTCCCAAGTAGCTAGGATTACATGCATGCACCACCACGCCTGGCTAATTTTGTATTTTTAGTAGAGATGGGGTTTCTTCCTATTGGTGAGGCTGGTCTGGAACTCCTGACCTCAGGTGACCTGCCCGCCTCGGCCTCCCAAAGCGCTGGGTTTACAGGCATGAGCCACTGTGCCCGGCTCTTCTTATACTTATTACTTGCTTGCTTTAGACAAGTAACTTCACCTCTCCAAGCCTGCATCCTGATGCAAAACAAACACCAATATCCATTTTATGATTTATTGTAATAATTAAACGAGGTAATAACATATCTGAAGTATCTTTAATGCAGCAGATGTCAAAAAGTGGTCGCCGTAATTATTTTTATTTTGTAAGGGAGGATTAAACACATTTAAATAGGACATCACGGGAGTGGAGCTGGATCCCAGGTCTGACTGATTCCTAGGCCTGCGTTCCTTATTGATTACAACATAAGACAAACAAGTCGTCTTTGGTGAGAGAGGTTGGGGAGAGAAGAATGTTTAATTTCTCCATGCCCTGCAATGACATGTATAACCTTCACTGTTGACTATTTGGCCAGATTGTTGAATTATGTTTTGTTCTTTGGCAACTTGGGGTATGGAACGTAGAATAACAACGCCTTCACACTAGTAACCTCCAGGCTTGTCCCTAGGATTCTACAGCATGAGCTTTGTGGGTAAAGAGAAGCTCACCAAATTCAGCCTCCAGCAGCACACACAGCTCGGAAGCAGCGCCCCGCCCAGATGTTTATATTTTGCTCCATCGGCCCCGCCCCCCGACCACGAGGGGCTCTAGCCACGCCCCCAAGCTCAAGTTTCTGGGGCCGGACTAGCCCAGCGCGTCTGCCTACCCACAGGGATTCCCTCTCCAGCCAATCCGTTCAGAGCAGAGGAGCTGCCCCGAACAAAGATGGCGCGGGAGGCGTCTGTGAGGGCAGACTGATCCGAGCACCCAAACCCTCGGCGGACAGCGGAGCCAGTGGTAGCGGCACGGCCCCAACCATGGAGGAGGGCGGCAGCACTGGCAGTGCTGCCAGTGACAGCAGTACCAGCGGGAGTGGCGGGGCGCAGCAAAGGGAGCTGGAGCGCATGGCTGAGGTCTTGGTCACCGGGGAGCAGCTACGGTAAGGCAAGAGACACAGCGGGTGAGCTCACGATGGCACTGCCAACGCGTGCCCGCTGCAGTCCTGCGCGCACGCGCTCCCTGGCTCGTGGCTTGCGACTCGCGTGGGGCGCCCGGACGGCTGCAGGCGCGTGGATGGTTCTTGGGGCGCCCGCGCTTAGCGGCTGCAGCCCGGGTCCCTGAGGACTCGCCACGCGGGGCTGCTTGGCAGAAGCCGACGAGCGGGTGGTGAGCGCTGCGCCCTAGCCTGGCTGCTGCAGCCCTGTGCCCGACAGACTCCCTGGCACCCACCGCGCTGTCCGTCTTCCCGTGTACCTGGACGCCGCCAGGCCTCCCGGCTGACAGCCTGCGCCTCGTCCGCCAAGAGAGCAAGAGGGGTCGGTGTGAGGTCCCGAGGAGACCCCAGCCCCTCTACTCCTTGCTAAAAGGAGCAAGACCAACGATGGCCTTCACTAGGTTTTCCTTTTTGCTGACAAGTCTTCCTTCACTTCCTTGAGCCTCGGTGTTTTACATCTGTAAAACAGGGCTGATCACCACGCCTCATTTCAAGGACTTTTGTGGGGTTAAACTGAGAGAGCATTTCTGAAACCCTGCACCTATCAGTTAATTGGCACATCGTCCTCAATCATTTGGGTCCGCAAGGGGGCGTGGAGGCACCTTGTCGGGCTGCCTTGAGGCTGTGCCAACTCCCCGGGCTCGCACGTTTTGGGCAGCAGGATCCATGGGGACCCTGGCTGCTGCAAGAATTAGGACTTGAGGCGTCTCATGGAACTTGGGAACAAGCGATGACCCCCAGAGTTCCCCTTGCCATTCCCATCCCTGTATGGTCCTTCCTCTAGGGCTGTTTGGGAATAGTACTTATAGTCTAACTGGTTCTGCAGCTGCCCTTCGTGTGGTCATAAATCAGTTTGCCAGGAAAAAAGAAAACCCAGCTCTGCGGCGTTTGAGCCACAGCTTGTACTCGGGCCCCTGTTCCTTCTAGTTCTTAGCCTGAATTCCCCAGCTCGTTTTGGTGTGTCAGTGGTTGTGTTTCAGGACCTGAAAGAGTGTCTTGCAAAGGTCTCTGAAGGAAACCAATATTGGTGGTCAGAATTAACTGATTTTTAATGTTACAAAAGGCAAATTGCGCCTATCGATTCTTTGTTGATTTTTAAAAATATGTGGTCAAAATTAATTTCCTTCATCAAGAGTACTTTCTAATGAAACCTGTCAAGCCTGTCTGTGTGAAGGGACCACCAAACAAGCTTTGTGTGAGCAAGAAAGCTTTTTAATCCCCTGGGTGCAGGCAGACTGAATCTAAAAAGGAGTCAGCGAAGGGAGATGGGGAAGGGGTTGCTTTATAGGAGTTGGGTAGATAATGGATAATGGTGTAAGTTTGTGAAGTGCAGTCCAAGAAAGCGGGGGTGACTGCGTAAAGCCCTGTTGTAAAGAGTAGAGTAAGGAAGAAGAGACCTGATATCCCTTGGAGAATAAATGTTGAAGGAGCAGGAGGGTGTCTTGCTGAGAAGATTCAAAGGAGGGGCTACAAAGTAGAAGGTCATCAATATATTGAACAAGGAGAGAAGCAGAGGGGTGGAAAGAAAGTAAATCATGAGAAAGGGCTTGGCTGAAGTAATGAGGGCTGTCCCTGAAGACTTTCGGCAGCACAGCCCAGGTAAGCTGCTGGGACTGATGGGTGTCAGGGTCAGTCCAGGTAAAAGCAAAGAGAGGCTGGGACGAGGGGTGCAGAGGAATAGTGAAAAAGGCATCTTTAAGATCAAGAACGGAATAGTGAGTTGTGGAGGAAGGTATTGAGGACAAAAGAGTGTACGGTTTGGGCACCACAGGGTGGACAGGCAAAACAATTTGGTTGGTAAGGCGCAGATCCTGAACTAACCTGTAAGACTTGTCCGGTTTGGGGACAGGTAAAATGGGGGAATTGTAAGGAGAGTTTGGAGGCTTTAGAAGCCCTAGCTGTAGCAGGCAAGTGATAGCAGGTTTCAGTCCCTTTAAAGCCTGCTGTGGGAAAGAAAGTTTAATTTCTCTGCTCTTCATTACTGGGCCATCTTTTTAAAAGTCTTCCGTTGGATAGGGTTACTTATTTTTCATTTATTTTACAAACATTAAATTGCATGATGGCTCTTTTTGTCCAGCAAGTACTTCTTCCTTCAAGATGCAGTTTAAATGCCTCTTCCTCGCAGTCCCCAGAGCACTTGTTATTCCCCGCTTTTCTAGAGCCTGTCTGCACTGCAGCAGTTTTGAGAGCCATCCTTGTCACACAGGAGTTAGACCTGGATTTGGATGACTGCTCCACCATTATGTAGGCAAGTGTCAGCATTAAGTTGTTTTGAAGAAGACTTTAAGCTAGATTGAATCTTGGCTTTGCTGCTTACTAGTGTGGGACCTTGGACAAGTTAGTGTGCCCGTAATCCTAGCCCTTTGGGAGACCAAGGCAGGCGGATCCCTTGAGGCCTGGAGTTCAAGACTAGCCTGACCAACATGGTGAAACCTCATCTCTACTGAAAAATACAAGAATTAGCCGGGTGTGGTGGGGCACGCTTGTAATCCCAGCTACTTGGGAGGCTGAGGCGAGAGGATTGCTTGAACCTGGGAGGCAGAGGTTGCAGTGAGCCAAGATAGCGCCACTGCACTCCAGCCGCCACAACAGAGTAAGCCTCCATCTCAAAAAAAAAAAAGAATGAAGAACGATGGGTAATAATGGAATTTACCTCATAGTGTTACTGTGAGGATTAGATGAGTTAGTGCTTAGAACAGTTTCTGATAGGTAGTAAGCACCAGGTTAATATTAGCTAAGGTAGAATTCTGTGACTTTGGACAAGTAAATTCACTTCTCTGAGTCTCTGTTTCTGCGTTTGAAAAAGACAATGAAGATGAATGTATTTCATGGAGTTGTGAGAATTTGCCCCTGGGCTTCATGTATTAATGAGCATTCAACAAATAGTTCCTGGAATTAATTAGTATTATTGGTCTCTCTGCATCACTGCATGTGACTTCCAGCCAAGCAAGATCGGGCAGGAAGGATTGGGTGGCGGTGAAGAGCACAGGATATAGAACTAGGCTGCCTGGGTTCTTATTCTGCCTCCACCATTTATTCTGTAACTTTAGGACAATACGTTTAGCCTTTCTGCGCCTCAGTTTCCTCTTCTACAAAATGTTATACTGATGACACTTCTTCAGGAGCTCTGTGAGGATTAAATGAGATGCTACATGTAAAAGGCTTAGTAAATGTTAGCCACTTAATTCTACTTTGGAAAATTTTAATCATTGCTCTTTTTTTTTTATCTCAACCGTTTTGGCACTGTAACTAGCACATAGTAACTAAATGAATATTGTAAGTATTCAATCTACTTCTGTTAGTACAGAGCAATATAATAGTCAGAATTTAGGAATTAAAGTGGTCGTATGCCTGGTTTCCCAGTTATTGGAGGATTGGAAGTTCAGTCATTATTGTCACTTTCACAGAGTTCTTCTGTCCGCAGCTACCCTCTCACTGCAGGGTTGTAAGTGCTTTGCAATGTCCACGCCTCTTGCCTCTAAGTGCTTCACACACTCTCAGTTCCCCTCTGCTTTCTCTCATTTTGCATTACTTTCTGGGTCATCAAAGATGAGGTAGAGGTGATAAGAGGAAACCAAGGACTAGGATTTGAAATAAAAATTTGGCCTCTAGACCCAGTTCCATCAATTTCTTTTTCTTTCTCTAATTGTAGCTATGCCCCCTTGAGCAAGTCACTTAACCTCTCTAGTCCTAAGCGTCCTTCCCTACAGAATGGGAATAATAATATCTTCTCACATTAGATTTGTGGTATTGATCAAATAGGGTACAACATGGGAAGAAACTTTGTAAAATAAATCAATAAAGCAAGAAGAGTGTTGTTATGACTATTGTGACCTCCAGATGTGAAATTCGGGGCTGGTTCCACAATCCTGACACTTTATTTGTTGTTTGTTGTTTGTTTTTTTGAGATGGAGTTTCGCTCTTGTTGCCCAGGCTGGAGTGCAATGGCGCGATCTGGGCTCACTGCAACCTCCGCCTCCAGGGTTCAAGCGATTCTCCTGCCCCAGACTCCCGAGTAGCTGGGATTACAGGCATGCGCCAACATGTCCTCTTTTGTATTTTTTTAAATTTATTTTTCTGGAGGCACAAGAATCGCTTGAACCCAGGAGGCAGAGGTTGCGGTTAATTTTGTAATTTATTTATTTATGTATTTATAGTAGAGACTGGGTTTCTCCATGTTGGTCAGGTTGGCCTCCAACTCCCGACCTCAGGTGATTCGCTCGCCTCGCCCTGCCAAAGTGCTGAGATTACAGACATTAGCCACTGCACCCAGCCAATCCTAACACTTTTTTTTTTTTTTTTTTTGAGATGGAGTCTTGCTCTGTCACCAGGCTGAAGTACAGTGGCGCAATCTTGGCTCACTGCAACCTCTGCCTCCCGGGTTCAAGCAATTCTCCTGCCTCAGCCTCCCAAGTAGCTGGGACTACAGGTGCGTACCATCACGCCCAGCTAATTTTTTTTTTTTTTTTTGTATTTTAGTAGAGACGGGGTTTCACCGTGTTGACCAGAATGGTCTCGATTTCTTGACTTCGTGATCCACCCGCCTTAGTCTCCCAAAGTGCTGGAATTATAGGTGTGAGCCACCGCACCTGGCCAGTCCTATCACTTTAAAGGGCAGTTGGTTGTATAAGGACAAGAAATTAACTAACAGACCTAAAAATGTCTCTTGCTTCCTTTTTCAGCTTAACTGCAGGACCCATTTGTTCAATTTTCTTCATATTTTTCCCTTGTCATAAAAGATTTTACTTCCTTCCCCCAATGTCTTTCTGGTTTTGCATCTTAAAGATGCATTTGGGGCTGGGCATGGTGGCTTAACACCTGTAATCCCAGCACTTTGGGAGGCTGAGGTGGGCAGATCACCTGAGGTCGGGAGTTCGAGACCAGCCTGACCAACATGGAGAAACCCCATCTCTACTAAAAATACAAAATTAGCCAGGCGTGGTGGC